GGAAAACATTGTGGAACATTTGGAAACAGGAAAATGAAGGCTACGCCTGCAGGAGAAGCGCAGGCTAGGGGAGGGCTGCACCAGGATTTTCAGGGAAGGATTCATGGCGGTGGTGGGAACCAGCTGGGCCCCAGAGGATGAGTCAGGCCTAGGCAGGGGAAGGAGGGAAGAAATCCTCGAAGCTGGTGTGAGTGTGTGTGTCTGAAGTGGGGTTTGCTGGGTTGTTTGGCTCTGAAGGGGAAGATGTCCACATGCTGAGCTTCCCACATGCCAGGCCTGGCAGTGACATGTGTTAGCTCACCCCATCCTTACCACAGCCCTGAGTCAGGTCTCATTATGTTCATTTTGCAGATGAGAAAACCGAGGTTCAGAGAGGCTTGAGTCACACGGTCCAGAAGGAAAAGCAATGGGACTCCAACTCCTGTCGGCCTCCAGAGCCCTTGCTCTCGGTCCTATGTTTCCGGGCCCACCGGGCAGATAACGGAGTGTGCTGTTGAGTGGAAAAATATGGCTGCCCAGAGAGGGCAAAGTGTCAGCCTGGGAGATACAAGGGGGGCTGAAAATTCCAGTCTTGCCTCAGGAGGCCGTAGAGAGTCATGCTAGGTCTTTGGCTATGAGAGGGATGTGAAGAACGAGGTGTTTGGAACACTTGAGTTGGTCTGGGTTTCCTGGAAGGGGCCAGAGGGCAGGGGGACCACCTAGGAGTGGGCAACATGGCCCTGGCTCAAGGCGGAGGGCAGCCGGAGAGGAGAGAACAGAGTGGACAGACATCTCCCCAGGAGTGTACCGCCGTACATTAGTCAGTGTCCCATAAAAAGAAGGCCCACAGGTGGTCACATTAGAGTGTTCTGGGTTGAACAGAGTAATAGAGTCATTGCTCTATTGTGGAACTTCTCTCTTTTTTTTTTTTTTTTTGAGATGGAGTCTCGCTCTGTCACCAGGCTAAAATGCAGTGGCCTGATCTTGGCTCGCTATAACCTCTGCCCCCGAGTTCAAGCGATTCTCCTGCCTCAGCCTCCCGAGTAGCTGGGACGACAGGTGCACACCACCATGCCCAGCTAATTTTTGTGTACTTCTAGTAGAGATGGAGTTTCACCATGTCGGCCAGGCTGGTCTCGAACTCCTAACCTCAAGCAATCTGCCCATCTTGGCCTCCCAAAGTGCTGGGATTGCAGGCATGAGCCACCGCTCCTGGCCTACTGTGGAGCTTCTCATAGCCTTTGATATGCCGATATGACTGCAGGGGGGAAATGGAATCTGCGGTGTTTCTCAAACTCATTTGACCATGAAACCCAGTTTCTGCCAATCACCTCCCACAGCTGGTGTTCCACAGAACACTCTTTGAGAAACCCTGGGGTGCCTGGTCCCCCTTGTGTCATGGGTAATGTGGGTGATACACTAACTTGGAACCTTGGGTGCAGAGCCCAGGCTTTTGTGTCACTGACCTACTGAGTTTTCTTGCTTGTTTTGTTTTCTGAACCTTGCTTTAACCCTGCCTAGCAGCTGGAATCTCTTCCCCAGAGTGTGCTGCTGAGGGGACGGTGGGACACCCACTTGCTCTCATTGTGCCTGGCCTGCAGGCAGGAGTGCGCTCACCTTGACAATGGCCTTTCTCTATCCTTGCTGAGGATAGTGATTGATGGGCTTATCCTGCTTGGCAGCTCTGGCCAGGCCTGGAAGACCTACATTCATGTATGGGTAGATACAAGACGGCCATCCTCTGTCTGAAGAACATTCTGCCCCAGGGAAGACACCAACAGGGATGTCAGAACAGCCTGGGGGTCATGGCCAGATCACAGTAAAAATGACAATATGATTGGCTTGCTACAGAAGAGAATTCAGAATAAGAATCTCAGACTCCATCCAGGGGGTGTTAGTTTCAAAGAAACCAAAAGAACCACTTTAGAAGGTTTCACTGGTGGGGCAGAGCTGAGCCCTTGGGGACTGTCAGGTGGTAAGAGGGGAGAGTGTTTAGGAAGAAAGATTTGTCTGTCGGCTTAGCTACTAGCTACATGCATGTCTCCACTGAGGACACAAGGATCAGGCTCCAGAGACAATTCAGCAGGTTGGGAGTCTAGAGACCAGAGCTGCTGCTTTTTTTTTTTTTTTTTGGTTGGAGGGGGAGATGGAGTCTTGCTCTGTTGCTCAGGCTAGAGTGCAGTGACACAACCTCGGCTCACTGCAACCCAGGTTCAAGTGATTCTCCTTCCTCAGCATCTTGAGTAGCTGAGATTGGAGGCACCTGCCACCATACCCAGCTGGTTTTTGTATTCTTAGTAGAGACAGGGTTTCACCATGTTGGCCAGGCTGGTCTCGAACTCCTGACCTCAGGTGATCCGCCCGCCTCAGCCTCCCAAAGTGCTGGGATTACAGGTGTGAGCCACCATGCCCAGCTGAGATCAGAGCTTCTAACACCAGCCCAGACACCAATGGGCTGGCTGACCTCAGGGCAAATCACTTTAGTGGTTTCCTCCTTTGGGAAAAAAAAGAGAGAGAGATAAAATCTGATCTACCTCTTAGAGGTTCAGGGTGGTTTCTGTTTTGCTTTTTGTGAGGAGCAACTCATAAAAATGATACCAAACTCCTCTGAAAATAAATACAGGCTCTATGCATTTCTAGCAATAATAGCAAGTATTCTCATTGGGATTGTGGCTCAATTTACCATGATAAAATCACTGGTAAATTTCTAAAAAGTTACCTCTTTGTGCACATACCTTCTCTTAGAAAATGGTGTTCTGTTAGGGGAAAATTAAAGGACACTCAGAGTTATTCATTTGGGAGTTTATGTTTTTCCTTTCCCTCACTGAATAGCTCTCTCTCCACGTTTCCATTTTGGTCATATTTCAGAAATGACTGAATGTCAGATTCTGCACTCTCACTTACTGAGAACGAATTGGAAAAATAATGAGATTAGCAGATAAGTAAACAAACATTTTAATTGAGGTTCAAATTGTAGAAGTACTTCAGGCAGTATGGAATTACATGTCTCCATATTCTTTGTTAGCCTGCATGAAACCAACACCCAGAAGGTTATATTAAACATAATCACCTAACTCCATGGGGCCTTGGGAGGAATTTTTAATGTGGCAATTGAAAGGCGTGTGATTGTGCAAAACACAATGGCACAAATGAGTGTTCCTGCTGCTTTCGTTTCTTTCAGAAAGGAAATTAGCTCTGGGGGAGCACAGAAGAGTACCAGATTTCAGACCTTCCTCCCACCCCAAAAAGGAGAAACACCCTGTTAACCTCACTGATCCCTCAGAAGGTGGGTATGAGTCCTATCTGGAGTGAGGTCTTAATACAAGCTTTGTATTGTGAGAACCTGGCCCCTGGCTCCCAGGAGTGCTGCTAAGTTGAAAACTTCATTGCATTCATTTTTTTTGTTGGTATTTAATACATATTTCATAGACTCCCATCTTAAAAGCTTTTCTGATTGATTGGCGGCAGAGAGCCAGCTCCCTTATCTAACAGGACTAAGTCCCCACTTTCTCCATAGTGGCCAAGTCATTGGTGTTTGCAGCTGTCTGCAGTGAGACCAAAGACATCCAAAAAGGTTGGATGGAGCGCAGAAGAGGCTGCTCTGTTCTTTCTCATCTGATGTCGTGCCCTTAGTTAGTTGTACCTGATAGGTGCTCATCCAGTCCCTCATCCTTTCCCCTTTGGAGTCTAAGTGGTTTTGCCGGTATGTGGTTTACCGGACCCTGCAGGCTTCCCTGCTGCACCCAGCTGGCTGTGTGTGAGAGGTCCTTTTAGCAGAGGAGTAGCTCTCCGCAGTAGGGTAATGATAGACCTGGATCCCAAGGCTTGCTCAGCCCTAGGGTATTCACCCCACCTCTCCATTGTATTGACCTCAACAAGGGACCCCTTGTTGGAGCTGTCATGTCCAATACATAGCCACTAGCCACATGTATTTAAATTTAGCTATTTAAATTTAGATTAAGTTAAATTAATTTTTTTCTCAGTCATACCAGCCACATTTCAAGTGCTCAATAGCCGCACTGTGGCAGGTGGCTACCGTATCAGTCAGTGAAGATGGAGGATACCGCCGCCACTGTGGGAAGTTCTACTGGACTGTGCTGCTTCAGAGATCACCCAGCCAGTGCCATGGTTTTTCTAGAATTTTAAGAAATAGAGACTCATAAAGGTTCAATGACTTTTCCAAGAATATCCGGGAACTTATACGAATATGTTTCCTGGCCAATTTGGAATTCTTGACAGAAGAAGATGTTCTTTATTTAAGTCTTGATTTTTGAAAGGAATGTTCCACTTTAAATAAAATTTGATTTTTACAAGTAAGATAATGTAATGTAACAATGGTCTTGAACTATAAAAACACTGGATCCATTTTGGAGAGGCTCACCATGGTCTATTCAATACTATCTAAATTATTTTCTTATCTTTAATGGCCAGTGGAAATTTACAAGAGAGAAGTCTAGAGTAGTTTTTGGAGACCAAGAAACATTGGCATATTTATTCCCTACCATACTGTTATGCTCTTAAAGGCACTTGAAAAACTGGGATCAGTTTTATGAGAAAGCCAAAGGGCCAGCTGTGCCCTGGAGTCACAGGAATCATTATGATGACATCCACCATCAGTTGGCATCATCGGTCAGATGCAGGGTGAGAGGACAGTGATACAGGCTCGCCACGACATGTGTGTCCTGAACATACTTCATAAACACTTAGCCTCCCTTACAGCCAAGACAGACAATAAATGTCTCTTTCACTCAGCTATGCTGGGATTTACACAGTGCCTCATGCAAAGTCTCACTGGGGGCCAGAATTCACGGAGGGTGGGAGGGCTAAAGCCTTGCTCCATTGCAGAAATCAAGCACAAAGAGCCATTGAGTGTCAAAGATGGGGGAATTCAGGACTCAAAAAAGGTCCTCCCATAGCAGGGGCCCAAAAAGTTCCTGTGAGAGTCACCTTTCTTGCTAAACTTCTTTGTATACAAGTTGTCCCTATGGCGAGCGATCAAAGGGAATTCTAGGCAATTGTTTTTGGTTATTAACTGAAGGAAGTTGATCTGCAATTATTCTAGCAGGTAACTGAACCATGGTATAGAGAGAACATAAAAGAAGGAATCTGGGCTTGCTGTGGTCTTTATTAATTTCTTCATTATGAATACCTCTCCTATGTTCTTCTAAGCCCCCACCCCACCACATGTGATAAGGAAATAGAAAAGAGAGCAGCAGAGTGTCTACCGTTGGCACAATGGGCTGTGTTTCTCTAACTCTGGGGCCTTGAGTTGTTGGAGAGGACATCACGAAAGGCTCGTGTCCCCATCGAACAGACCCTGGGAACTGGGGCAGCAGAAGCAGCTCTGGTGAGTATTTTGGGTAAATGGTGTGATAGGAGGTTAGCATGCCAGAATAGGAAACCAGCTTGTAAGGACACAGAAGAAAAGACACTAGGTCCAGACAAGTCAGGGAGCACCAATCAAATGACACACATCTGGGCGAGTTAAGTTCAGGGCCCAGAAAGTCAGAAAATTAGCAAAGTCAACACTGGTATGCTGCTCTCTTTAATAAGTCTGCCCCGTGTTAGTGAGTAAGGGCTCCTTGAATTTTCTGACAGTCAAGAGGGAGGGTTAAGGAAAGACATAAGTTGGGGCCTTCATAGTGGTTCCAAGAGTATCTTCCTCCTCTCAGGATGGGCCTTTCTCCCTCCTGGGACTCGGCCTGGAGACATCCATGCAGCTTCCTTGATGGGGCTGCTGGTTCACAGCACCCTGACCATTCAGGAGCTGGTAAATTTCCCTTCCTTGGGAATAATTCTTGGTCAAACTAGATATTCTTCCTTACCCTTGACCTATTTTGAGAAGGAAATAGGAACAGGAGCAACTATGCAGTAGGTATTATCCCTGTGTGCTTAATAGCGCTAAGGAAGAATTTTCAGAGATTTAGAGTGGGGGTGAGGGCAAGAGGAAATGAGACCAGAGGAAATTGGTGAGCCGTGGCTGTAATTGGAGGACGCTAAGCTTTGCACAGAGGCATTCTGGCCACCAAACCTTCTCCTCTGCAGATAATGGTCTCCCTGAAGGCTGGAGCTTCTGGATCAGGATAGCATGGGTGGCTGGAGCTGCCTGTGCCAGCTGGTAGTGGTGGGGACCCACATGCGTGGGTGATATGGCTTGGCTGTGTCCCCACTCATATCTCATCTTGAATTGTAATTCCCATAATCCCCACATGTCATGGGAGGGACCCGGTGGGAGGTAATTGAATCAGGGGAGCAGTTTCCCCCATGCTTTTCTTGTGATAGTGAGTTCTCTTGAGATCTGATGTTTTTATAAGCATCTGGCATTACCCCTGCTGGCACTCATTCTCTCTCTTCTCCTGAAGAGTTGTGTTCTGCCACGACTCTAAGTTCCCTAAGGTCTCCCCAGCCCTGTGCAACTGTGAGTCAATTAAACCTTTCTTTATAAATTAGCAGCAATGAGAACAGACTAATACACTGGGGGAGGTGGGGTGAAGGTTAGATTTTGCATACATGGCACCATGCTGAGTTTGGCTTCAAGGGCCAAATTGGTGAACTCAGAAAGGGAAGCCAGATGTAGCTGGTAAAGTCAAACCTCAGCTCCACTACTACTAGCTATGAGGCTTTGTGAAAATCAGTTAACCACTCTGAACCTCAGTCTCTTTATCTGTGGTGTCAGGCTGAATAACGACTCCTCCAAAGATGTCCACAACCACATGTTCCGGAACTTGTGAGTATGTTAACTAACATGGCAAAATGGACTTTGCATTTAATGTGATTTAGTTAAGGATCTTGAGATGGGGGAGAATTGTGGATTATCTTGGTGGGCCCAACCTAATGACAGAGTTGTCATAAGAGACAGGCAGGAGCATCAGACTGAGAGTGGTGACAGCAAAGGTTGGAGTGATGAGAGGAAGGGTCACCACCTAAGGAATGCAAGATGCCTCTAGAAGCTGGAAAAGGCAAGGATACGATTCTCCCCTAGGGCCTCCAAAATCTGCAACTTGATTTTAGCCCAGTGAGACCTATAAAATTCAAAATAAAGGTACTCATCTCATAAGGCTGTTGCGACAAGTTAAAGGAGACAATGTATCTGAAGCACTTAGGGTAGTGTCTGCCCTGCACTAGGTGCTGGCTAAAACGTAGACGATCTTACGCTTTGTTTTAGAAGTTATATAATCCGAGCCAGCGCTGGATCCCGTCTGACTTAAAGCCCATCCATTACATTATGCTTAAAACAACTTGGGGTGGTTGGAAGTGGATGCAGTTCTTCCAAAGAATCTGTGGTAAAACATTTTCGGATTGCTGGAACCCAAGGAGATGCTTCCAAACTCTTTATCTCAGAAAGTTTTTGGGACCCCAGCATCCCCTTTGGATGATAACCTGTTGCATCATCAGGCCTCCAGACATGAGGCTGAATTCCTGCATCCTAGTTCTGCACATCTTGGTGGCTTTTGCAGGATTGCATGTGAACTTGAGGCACTCTCTCACATAATGTGGCAGTGGAGACAAATAATGTCACCAAGGTGTGGCTATGGAGTGGGAGAGAAGGACTTACAGGATGTCATTAACAAATTGCTGGGTGGCCGCCAGGGTGTTGCATAAGTCTGGTGACTTCATTTGATAATTTGCTGATCGTTCAAGTTTCTGTCTAGTTTCCTGTCATCCTCACTGGCTTTGTTTTGCACCTGAGAGACTGAATATACAAATGGACCGTGGCTAGGCCAGTTATAAAAATACAATTCAGGCCAGGCATGGGGGCTCATGCCTGTAATCCCAGCACTTTGGGAGGCCAAGGCAGGTGGATCACAAGGTCAGGAGATAGAGACCATCCTGGCCAACATAGTGAAACCCCCTCTCTACTAAAACTACAAAAATTAACCAGGCCTGGTGGCACGTGCCTGTAGTCCCAGCTGTGGAGACAGCTGAGGCAGGAGAATCCCTTGAACCCGGGAGGCGGAGGCTGCAGTAGGCTGAGATTGCACCATTGCAATCAGATGGAGTTTTGCCTGGGTGACAGAGCAAAACTCCATCTCAAAAATAATAAAATAAAATAAAAATTCAGACCCACAGTCTGCAGCAACCAGCCCAGAAAACCAGCTCATGACTGACAGTTACCAGCTCAGGAAGCAGGTCTGCTATAAATCAGACTTGCAGGAAGTCAGATCACTGTCTGTAGCAACAACTCAGGAAGCCAGACAATAACCTCATGCAATTGCCCCCAAATGGGCAGGAGTTAATTAATAATGAACAGCTTCCTTGATTTTCTTCCCTGATGCCAATATAGGACCAACCAGAGAAAGCCAAATATGCACTTCTAATTATTCATGTCTGATGTCGTGCTTCTAGTAGCCCACCTCCGTGTAGGCACCCCACCCTATACCAACAACCCCCCATCAGGGTGAGATCGAAGCCTTCCCTCTTTGCCATTTTAAAGCTTTCCTACTTCTCTGCCTGCCTTTGAGTCTCTGCCAAAATGCAAAGGACAGTGAGTGGCCGACTCCCTTGCTATATGTAGCAAGCTCTGAATAAACAGCCTTTGCTTTTCTCATTCGGTTGGTCTGCATTTATTTCCACATGCCCTACAACCAGCAGATGTGAATTTGGAGATAAGAGCATGTTCTACACTCTTGGACCCGGACAAATTTGGTCTCGCGTGATTGGATCAGAGTGACACCACTTGTGGCCTCATGAAGCCCCAAAGCCTTCTTGGTTCCTGTCTTTGTGGAGTGCGGATGACCTCTCTAGGAGCAGGAGACGAGTGTGATGAAGTAGTGAGTAAATGCTGTTTGAACTTGAATTAGTTATGGCACAAGTGGGTGGAACAGAAAAGAAATAATTAGTAAAGGCAAATGGGAAAAGTTCAAAATTGGAATTTTGTTTTTAAAGAACACTTGGGAGTTCTTTAAAATGAATGAAGGCAACATATTTCCCCCTTCCCTGGCACGCAGGTGTCATTTAAAGAAAAACAATGAGGAGGTAAGTTTTAAGTGGTGTCGCAGGGAACGTTAGACGCTAAGGTCACTAATCTAAAAACTATCACCGCAAGGAAATGTGCAGGTGGTTATGGGGCAGAGATATTGCATGAACTCTCTGCAGACATCTCAAATTGTTGGCCTTTGAAAAAAAGGTCCACATGTGATGCTCTCTGCAGTGTCATTGTCAAGATCATAACTAAGTTTATTGCAAGGCATTATCAAGATGCATTCTCAGGTTGCGTACCTGGCTCCAAAGACCACAGTGGATTATTATCTTGGTGCTCCTTTATTATTCCCTCTCTCTCTTTGTAAATAAAAATGACAAGTCAGAGTTTGGTAGTGGTTGAGAAAATTGTTGACATGCAATTACAGGAAATTGCTTCTTTGGTTCAGTTTCTTAATTTGAATCTTTACACTGTCTGTGTAGCTACTGTGGGTTTATTAGTTTCTGTAGCTGCACAGAAAATAATGTTTTAATGGTTTGACATAATAAATAATGTTACTATTTTCCATTTTATGTGGCATCAAAACTCTTTCACATTCACCGCTTTGATCTCCCTAACTCCACTATCCCATGAGGTGGGTCAAATATGGTAGGACAAGCATCACAACCCCATTGAACTAATGAGATGCAAAGAGGCCACATGCTTTGCCCAAAGTCGTACACTTAGCAAGCCGGAATTCGAACCCTGATTTGATATGAAGAGTTTACTGGCTGACAACAAGACTGCAATACATCCACTAGACACATTTCAGATTGAGTTTCCCCTTTGAACCGGTAACAACTGTTTCAAAACTAAGAACCCTTTTGGATTAAACTTGAAGAAAGGAGAGTTGAGGGAGTTGGAGAAGACGTTTTCCTGTTTTAACAACTTAATTAGCAAGTATGGGGCGAGGTGGGGAACACTGGGGCATGAAGAGAAAGACATTTTGTGGACACATCACTTGTATATGAGATGTCAAATGTCTGTACACAGGGTCTGGTCTGGGGCTGTGGGTCAGCATGGTGGCCACCAGCCACATGTGGCTCTTGGGCATTTGAAATGTGGCTTCCTCACACTGAGATTTGCTACCACTGTCAATTCCACATTGACTTCAAAGCCTTAGTATGAAAAACAAAAGCACGTAGCCTATGTGGTGTCATGTTAGGGACTGGTTTCCCTCCATGGTTCCTGGCTCATGACTTGCATAGCCCTTGTTACAGTCTTTGGTTATGATGTCGGGTGTGTTAAGTCTCTGACTTCCTTCTGTCCCCTTTCGCCTGCCCCAGGGAAGGACTCTACTGCTTTTCTGATTGAGGTTCGTAAGACCTTCCCATGAGAGGTTCCTACCCTATGTCCTGGGGAAAGGAATGTTGATGTCATAAAGCTTCCATAAAAACCCAAGTGGGGCCGGGCGCGGTGGCTCAAGCCTGTAATCCCAGCACTTTGGGAGGCTGAGGCAGGTGGATCACGAGGTCAAGAGATCGAGACCATCCTGGTCAACATGGTGAAACCCCGTCTCTACTAAAAATACAAAAACTTAGCTGGGCATGGTGTCGCGTGCCTGTAATCCCAGCTACTCAGGAGGCTGAGGCGGGAAAATTGCCTGAACCCAGGAGGCGGAGGTTGTGGTGAGCCGAGATCGCGCCATTGCACTCCAGCCTGGGTAACAAGAGCGAAACTCAGTCTCAAAAAACAAAAACTAAAACAAAAACAAACTCAAGTGGACAGGGTTCAAGGAGCTTCTAGAGGCCTGAACATGCTAAGGTTCCTGGAGGGTGCCACCCAGGGAGGGCATAGAAGCTCCACACCCATCCCCCATCCCTCATCCCACCTGTCTCTTCATCTGTAGCCTTTGCAACATTTGTAACAATCACCCAGTAAACAGAGGTATTTTCCTGAGTTCTGTGAGCTGTTCCAGCAAGTTAACTGAAGCCAAAGGGGGGGTCACGGGAACCCCAACTTGAAGCTTGTTGGTCAGAAGTTCCAAAGGCCTGGACTTCTGACTGGTGTGGTGGGGGGCAGTCTTGAGGACTGAGCCCTCAACCTGTGGGCTCTGACACTATCTCCAGGTAGACAGTGTTGGAACTGAATTAGAGGACACCCAGCTAGTGTCCTCTACTCGGTGTGTGGGGAAAAATCGCCATACGTTTGGCCACAGAAGTCTTCTGTGTTGATGATGGCTGTGGTCTGACAGAAGAGGAAGGACACTGAGAGTTTTCTCTACACTCCTATCTCAAACTTTTTTGTATGCATTATATGTTAACATGAAAAATTGGGACAAATAAAATATATTTAACAATTAATTTCATAGGATTATTGAAAAAAATTTTTTTAATGTGGCTACTGGCAAATTAAAAATTATATACACTGGCCAGGTGTGGTGGCTCATGCCTGTAATCCTAGCACTTTGGGAGGCTGCGGCAGGCAGAGTGCCTGAGTTCAGGGGTTCAAGACCACCCTGGGTAACATGGTGCAACTGTGTCTCTACTAAAAATACAAAATCTACCCTGGCATGGTGGCATGTGCCTGTAGTCCCAGCTACTTGGGAGACTGAGGCAGGAGAACTGCTTGAACTGAAGAGGCAGAGATTGTACCACTGTACTCCAGCCTGGGCAGCTGAGACAGGCTTCGTTCCCCACCACCAAAAAAAACCAAAGAACAACATCTGAGGCTCATATTTGATTTCTGTTGGAGAGTGCTGTTCCAGAGGTTTACCCTTTATATGTGATGGTCACTTGGTAGGTGAGGGTGAGGGCAGGGGTTCAGCTGTGTGGCTCAAATAAGACAGGCTCTTGCAGTAGAGAGGGCGGAAGGAAAGACAGCTGGTCCACCCTGCTTTCCCCTGGGAATGGGGTCCTCATTATGCAAGAACATTAAAGAAGAAGCAAGGGCTCCATGTGGTAATTTCAATGGAAGCACATTCACTTCTGAAACCTAGTTTCTTTTCTAAACTCCACCCAAGGCAAAATGGATTATTGCTTCCTGGAAATCTAACCAGGGGACTTTAAAGTGTTTCATATTAAAAACAGAGAAGCCCAAGAAGGAGAAAAATAATTACATTTCTAAAAGCTCTTAGAACAAATGCTTGCTTGTGAGAAATAACTTGTCTATAAATATTTTATTCCTCTTTTTTCCCCCTTTTGTCCTCCAGCTGAGAGGTTCCACATGGATATAGAAGATGATGTTCCCCTTGGGAGAGAGGATCAAAGCCCCCCCCGGGCTGTTTGCTGCTGAGTTTTACTCCTAATAATCTTTGTGGCTTCTGCCCCAACCTGCCTGCAGGGCTCTGAGATGGAGTGAGCTCAAAACTGTGGAAAAACAAAGAATACGGAGAAAAATCCATTACTCTTAGCATCCGAGCTGGTGTTCCAAACAGATAGATCGAAGCCTTGGCTGGAGAGAGGGGAGAGAGAGAGAGAGAGAGAGAGAGAGAGAGAGAGAGAGAGAGAGAGAGAGAGACAGAAGCAGAAATGTTTATGGTTTACCCTTGGGAACCTGGATTGGATCTTAATAACTTGTAAGGCCTGGACAGCTCACACTGAACCTCTGCATGAAGCTCAACACATATTTGTCAAATGGCTGGATCCATTCATCCACTCACCGAATGAGCACTGTGTGAGCTGCAGTGCCCATGGCGTTGAACTTGGAAACCTGAGGAAATGATGATACCAGCAAGAGAAAGGGGAAGCTGGAGAAGGACCTCGTCTTGGGAGTAGATTGTAAGTTTGAATTCACCCACGGCTGGCCTTAGGTAATGTGATAGTCAAGATCCAGTGTCCATGGACAGCAGGTGGCTGGAAAAGAGGACTCAAGGTTGACTTTGATGATCACAGCACGGAGTCAGTTCTCGTCTAGGAAAACATGATCATATTTGGTGTTTTAAAGAGACTTTGCTATGTGAGATGTGTCCAAATGGAGGAACGAGGATGGTGCAGGGCTGAGACTGTGGCTAGAACATTTGGCTTCATAGAGCAAAGTCTACAAGGATATATTTAGTTGTCATTGTATTTGGTGGCCTCACATTCAGCAGGAGTAGACTTGTCCTGTGTCACTGCTGATGGATAATTCTCCACGGATCTCTCAGGTTCTGTCCCTGTTGCAAGTAAGGCACTTACTGCTCTGTTCTGGACTCTCTTAAAACTACACATACAGCACAGCTTTGGAGCACAGAGATAATGCCAAAGTTCTTTATCAAGCTTGAGATCCCTACTGTAATTATTACAATTCTCCTTTTTTTTTTTTTTTTGAGATGGAATTTCACTCTTGTTGCCCAGTCTGGAGTACAATGGTGCGATCTTGGCTCACCGCAACCTCCACCTCCAGGGTTCAAGCAATTCTCCTGCCTCGGCCTCCCGAGTAGTTGGGATTACAGGCATGCGCCAGAATTCTCAGCTAATTTTGTATTTTCAGTAGAGATGGGATTTCTCCATGTTGGTCAGGCTGGTCTCGAACTCCCGACCTCAGGTGATCCACCTGCCTCGGCCTCCCAAAGTGCTGGGATTATAGGCGTGAGCCACCGCTCCCGGCCCAGTTATTATTCTTATCCAATTACTTGCTTCCTTGGTGCTGACAGAAAGATTAATTTAAATAAAATACCCTGCTGGGTAATATCTGCTTTTTAGTTTCCGATAAAGTCCAGGGCATGCCTGGAAGGGCTTCCAGGAAGGGGTCTTCTGATGAGTCAGCCGATGTGCCTCCCCAACTTCATGGAAGACCCCGTTGTCAGAAGTTTGAAGGACATATACCATGCTTGCACATGTTCGACGGATAATTTAAAAAATTTAAATGTAAATAGTTGTTAAGGATATAATTTCCAATGAACCTGGAAACCATCATTCTCAGCAAACTGACACAAGAACAGAAAATCAAACACCGCATGTTCTCACTCATAGGTGGGTGTTGAACAATGAGAACACATGGACACAGGGAGGGGAGCATCACACACTGGGGTCTGTTGGGGGGAAATAGGGGAGGGACAGTGGGGGGTGGGGAGTTGGGGAGGAATAGCATGGGGAGAAATGCCAGATATAGGTGATGGGGAGGAAGGCAGCAAATCATACTGCCATGTGTGTACCTATGCAACAATCTTGCATGTTCTTCACATGTACCCCAAAACCTAAAATGCAATAAAAAAAGAAAAAGAAAATTGTTCCCAAATTGTCTGTGACAGAACTTTTTTGTATGATTTCATTTGTAACCCCTTCCATGAAGTAATTATGATGCCTGATAAAATGCTTGGGTAATTTCCAGCTAGACTTTAATGGGGTTGAGAAGTGCTGAGAAGTCTGGTCCCCACTCAGCTATCTTAAACCATGTCAACCAGTCTCGAGCTGCTCTGTTGTGGTGCCATTTCTTTTTTCTGTTTGTGTCTCTTCCAAAAGAGAATCACTGAATTAGCTGGCTTGCTGGGAGCCTCTTCTCTTGAGGCCAGTCTGAAATAGAATTCTGACACATGCTAATAACAACTTTGTCTGACAAGTTATTTTAAGAATTCACATTTTAAAAATAAATTTGTTACCTCACTTTCAAATGATATCCATTGGACTCGAAATACTGTAATGGTATGATACTCAACACTCTACATAAAATATATAGGAGCTACTTTTTGACACTTGGACATTTTACGTTTCTTTTTCTTCTCCTCAAATTCTTAATTCTGCCTCCCATTTTATCCTAATATGATATTTCTTACAACTAAAAACTTAAAATTGATCTCAAAATTTTCTATAGCAAATCTATGAATTTTTGTGACCTTAAGGCTTTCTGTGTTCCTGAGTATATAGTCATTACTACCTAACCAATAAACATGCACAAATATATTACAATTCGACAAATAATTATTAAATATAAAATTTAAATTTTATTGTAAATAAACCTCTTAAAAGGATGGGACTAGTTTATTCCCTCCCTCCTCCATCCCCAGAAAGATACATACCCACGAATAAAAACTACTTATTGCTAGAAAGAGCTAGTGTTCACCAGCAAGTCTATTCTTGCTTTTTGTCTTTCTCAATCTAAGCTCTGAGGAGGGCTGCAGATATAACGATTAACTGAGATTGGAAAGAGTTTTGTTATAGCGACGTTATTCAACTCTTAATTTCTAGTATATCTAAAAATCACGTTAAAAAATCTATTGGCTGTCTTCACTAGAAATTATTTCAACTTAATTGAAGGCAAAGAATTGGCAAACCAATTTGCACAAGGATTTGCTCCCCAGTCATTACAGCCCAATACAGCCCCAGGATTTTAAATCGTGCCTTTTGGTAACCCAAGAATTCTAACACTCCAGGGTCATGCCCAGTGGTATGTAGGTAAATTTACTCCTTGGGGGTAAATAAATAAATAAATAAAGGCAAAGAAAAGAAATCCCTGCTTTATAGCTTTTGTTCATTTACATGGTGTAAAGGCTTCCACCACTGCCAGTTTCAAGCCACTCACCTGACTTCACTGACACACGGCTGGAAAGACAGGCATGCAGTTGGCTCTCCGGCCAGTATGAGGCACTCACTATCGCAGGGCATCACTGTTAGATCCAGAGAGAGGGAGGGCATCACCGTTAGATCCAGAGAGAGGGAGCCTGACTTCTAAGAAGTATGACAGATGACTGTGAAAGGGGAGGGTGAGGAGAGCTGGTCTGGTGCTAGGGGTGTGCTCAAGGAAATTAGCTCATGAATGAGTACCCATGGGTGTTGAGAACATTGATTCTTTTAAACAGCCCATGCCTGGGTACTCCTTGGGAAGGCTGTGCCACCGTGGTTCCATGTGCGGCAATTTGGAGGCTACCGATTCAAAGGATGGAGCATGGGCCTCGGGGTCAGCCGCACCAGGGCTCAAATCCTGTAACTTATGAGGTTTGAGAACTTGGGCATGTTTCAATGTCTGAGTCTCGGTTATCTCCTACAAAATACAAGAGGCCAATACCTACCTTGCATGGTTTGAGAGCAAGATGTAGTATGCATACAGTGTTGTATTCAGCAGGTGCTCAACAGATGACTGTTACTATCAGCATCTTTTTAATTGAGTCCAAGTGATGAGACTTGGAGGGTTGAGGATTAAGGTATCGGGACCTGAACCCGGTGGGAAACATCGGATCCCTTGCCACGTAGGGTTGATCTACTCCAAAGCAAGTAGCTGCTTTGGTTCCAACTAAAAATGTTGACTGCAAAACAGAATTTTCAGCTTGTTTCCCTCCTTTTCATACATGCTTTCATCTTATAAAATGTAGAGGCTGGGATCTCTGATCCATGTGGAAGAACACACCTAACAGCAACAGCAGCTCTCCCAGGGAGTCGAACTCAAGGCTGGCCCATCTTGGACCTAACCAGGAGGGTTATTACCAAGAAACAAAAGGGTCTCCTTCGAAGGTAGTTTCACCTGTAAGGCAATGCCTTAGCCTGGTCCCTGAGGGCTTCATTAGAGTGGGGTCCTGGTGGTTTTACTGGCTTGTTAAGAAGGCTTTTCAAAGTCTTGTGTAATGATGATGAATGGCAGGGCAAAATCATGTTAACACATTATAAACAATTCCAGGGCACAAGCAGTATCTCACACTGTACTTTATTTTTCTTCACAATATTAACTAGACAGACAAGGAAAGCTTAATGGCAATGTGGCTTTTTCCAACAACACAAAGTGCCATTATAGTTCATGGTGACCAACTGGAGACTTACTTTACCTTAACCATATAAAGTGTCCTTACCGTATCTTGTGTGTGTGCAGTGTCGCAGGATATCAGCCACCCCTTAAAAGTATCAATCTTAAAAAGAGCCATGGAAGGTAAAAGTATGAAAATCTTGATAACAAAGGCTTTTGATACAAAAACACTTATTGTACACTTATTTTTATTCAAAACAAAAATAACCCCAGTAACTCAAAACAAAAGCAAACCTTGGTTGAAAGCTTAAGAAGGTATAATAAAGAAAAAAACCACCAAAAGAAAGCTTCCCCACAAGAGATGCAATTCACTATCACTCTTGCGAATTCTACCTGGGAGGGAAAAACATAATGAAATGAGCTATCTGGAAGGCCCACTGCAGGTTTCCAAAAGCTTTAGGTGCATGGAACTACTCAGTTTCTCTACTACAGTTCTACTTATTAACAGTCTTGAAATTTTTTTTGATTCAGTGAGCCTTTCCATCCTCCACCAGTGTTTCCATCTTCAGTGCTGAGCTCGGTATGCAGAATCACCTTGTTGTCAACAGGATGCTGGCTTAGTTATTTTTCTGGGCAGTCCAGATGAATGGGTGCAGTACCATTCATGCTCCACCTGGTTTTCTTTGTGTCCACTGAGATGCATATTTCATGGCTGTCCAAGGTCATGGTTGTCCAAAGACATGGAACAGAATGATTCACTGGGTTAAGACTAAGGGACTTGTATTATCACTTCCCAATTCAGTTTCGCACTGCTTAATTTTATCTTATTACAATTTTTTTCTGTGTTGTACATAATAAACATTTAGAAACAGATGTCCCTACCAACCAGAAGGCTGTCATTAAATATCCTGTGGGTTAAAACTGCACATTTATTGTTTAAATACCCATTAGACATATCCAGCTTGAAATTTACACCCCGGCACTGCCAAACGGAGCTGCACTTTGAGCCGTGCTGATGTCTCTGGAATCTAAATGTCGTACCACAAAGCTTCAAAATGTTTCTCATTTGTCACATGAGGTTCTTCAAAGAGGCATCACATCGACCCCAATACAGGTCCCTCATACCCCTAGTTCTGGTTATTCTGAAAACCTCCAACTCTCTGATCCAAACTTGGGAATGTTTTACTCATTTAAAAAGTCTTCCTCCCTCCCATCCCTGCAACAAATGTCCTTTGTCCCATAATAATTAAAACAAAACAAAACAAAAAAATCCCTGAAAGATCCAAATTGAATAACAATAAAGATCTGATTGGAACCTTCATAAGCTTGACAATGTAGAATTGTATTTCTTAAAAAGTGTGTAACCACATTTGTCTGGGCTGCAAAGGACACCGCAGAATAAGATCAGAATAGAATTTCAACTGACTCCCTAATTTCCTTAGAATGGCTTATATTTCAAGCCTTTCCTGCTTTTCTCAGATAGGGTAGGTGTACATTACTAACTATAAGCGATAAGAAAGTCTAAAAACAGTCACTGCCTTAAAAGTACAATTGGAATTAGAGTTTAAGTTCACATTTATAAATTATTTGTTTTAGGATAAATTTAACTGCAAATACAGACTATTTGCAATTCTGTTCACTCAATAGATTCTGGAGGTGAAAGCTAGACATGTGTTGGGATTACCCGAATTATTTACATTTAATCTTGATTATTATAACTCCTCTCGATGTATAATCACTTCCTAATTTTTCCCATTGGGCCAGAGCTACATCTTTAGATGATAAGCGTTTACTAAGACAATGAAGATCGCATATAAATGGAAGGCCACATTGAACACGGAGAGGTAAGTGAGCTGTGGAGAGAATGTTGGCTTCTTGTTTGAACTAAATCAAGGTGCTCCCTTAATTCTAACAGTGATTTTAATTCAAATCTTAAGCCTGCCAGAATTTTCCGCCCCTGCAAAATCTTCGGAGACGAACTGATGGCCATAGGTCCCATCGCCTGTCGTTCCCGCCTCTCTTTCAGAGTATTTGTGCAGCGAGGGATTGGGAGGTTTTGGATGTTCTTCTCCTTTGGGCTTTTTTTTTTTTTTTTTTTTTTTTTTTTTAAGAGCCCTTGACCCCAATTTGAAAAGTGCTTATATTCTATTTAACTCTGACCCTGGCCCAATGTAAAGAGGACTGCTTTTCATTCATAAAGAGCAGTTAAGATTCAGGTGTGAATCCCTCATCAACACAAAATAGGGATGGTTCTCCGATGCCGGACTGCAAAATAATTAGATATAATGAAAAAAAAAGGAGAAAAAAATGACTAGTTGAGGCTTTTATATACATTCATTGCTTCTAACATGTTT